TATATATATATATATATATATAGAGAGAGAGAGAGAGAGAGAGAGAGAGAGATTATAACCTTCATTGTACCGCCAACCCAATTTTGGACTTACGACTGCCAATGTTCTATTCCGCATCCTTGTAATTTTGAACCTTATCCAGAAGACAAGGGAACTCCTGGATCAAGTATTGGGGGAAATTCGCCCTCGTGGAGGACCTTTTGGTGAGCAGCTCTCTTTTTCGTCTAAATGTTCCCATTATTTTGACACTTTTGTATCAATTGAAGATATTTATTAGAATACTTACTTCAATAGCAGCTTTAAATTTGTGGCAAAAGCTATGGAATATTTTAAAGCATTCCTCAAGTTTGAAAGATTGCAAATCCTCGCATAAGAAATCAGCTATTTCTTCTTTCACTTTTTCTAAACCATCAATTTCTTTCTGAACGGCACCAGTCTCCCGTTTTGCGAACTATGGATGAAAAATAAGTTTATTTTTTAAATTTAATATGAGCAAAGAAAAGGAAATTAAATTACAATTATATATCTTCTAACACATTTAATTGTTATTACACTGTAAAAAAAATGTATTTTACAGCAAAAGTTGATCAACATTTTATACAACTAATTAAGTACATAATAATATTAGCATAATTATTAAACTAATAATATCAACATAATTATTAAACTAATTAGTGCATAATAATATCACATTCAATTGATTTTCTTAAATATTTTTAACTGGTTACAAATACATGGATCTTCAAATTTTGCAAGCTAAAATCGTCAAGTTCTTATAATACCAATTATAATTTCTAACTCATTTATTAATTAATCTTAAAAAAAAATTAATCCAAGTTTTGCACTATTAACAATGAATTTTGAAATCCTTATTATTTCACTCATTTGATATTAAAAGTAACATAACTAGATCAAATGTGTCAGTTCACATATGTTTTAAAGTAATTGAAGCTATATAAAATTTCACTATAAGACTTGTATAATTTATTTTATTAACATCGTGGTGTTTAATCTAGTTAGTGCTTTTAAGTTATTAAGAAAGAAAAAACAATCAAATTGGAAAATAACTTATCTGCTTTTTAAAGACGCATTATAGACATGATAAATCAAATGTAAGACACTAAAAACTATATCTTTTTCAGCTTTATTAAAGATAATGTTATACTTAGAGTTAATAATTTTCGCCTAACAGTTAAGTTGTCTTAATTTTCTTTTAAACGATGTCTTATAAAAAAATCCAATTGATTTATTCATAAATTGTCAACAAAGTATAAAAAAATACTTATTTTTTTTATCGTTTTCTCAACTAAGGTTTTCATGAGTTAATATTATAGTTTAATATTTAGCTAATCCAAATTTTCGTAAGACTGGTTTCTTATAGCTAAAACTTTATCTACTCATAAATTTCTTATAAATCAACATCGAATGAATTACTTTTAATTTAAAATCGTGTACACAACGTAGCAGAAGTAATACCTTTTCATTCGATATTTCAAATTTATCCCACATTCTACGGGGATAGATATAAATGTTTGATTAGTTGCGTACTCCATATCAAATCATTTTAACTAAATTATTTCCATGGACATCTCTTAATTTTGTCCTCAGCTGTTGTTGCTGGTTTTGTATAGTTGTCTCGTTTAATAGTTTTTCAAATCAGTATCAACATCAATTGATGAATATTTTAACTAAGTTTGGAACTTAATGAGTATAAGTAACATGAGACAAAAACAAACAAACAAATTTTTTTTTGTCTAATTAATAAAGCAATGTTTTTACTTGAATAAAATCTTCCATTTGTTGTCTAACATCTTCACCAGCTATTGACACTTGTTGAGATATTTTCGAAACTCTGTTAGACAAATTTGTAATTTCCGTTTTCAAATTATCAATTGAAAGCCTGAAAACAAATTCAAAGATATAAACAAAACCAGAAAAGCAACAAAGACACAGAAATTCAGTTGAATAGGCTAAAATGGGAAATTATTATTATTATTATTATTATTATTATTACATTTTTAAATTTTTTTTTTTAATGGTGGACACTTCTATTCCCATTGGCCTCAGAAATACCAGAATTGCTACTCGCCCAGTGGTTACTTGTGGCTAAGCCAGGGCGGTGGAGTAGCGTCACCCACGTCATACAACCACAAACCCGTTTATAGCGTGGGTTACACATTCACACATTCACACCGAAGAAAGGACATAGAACACAGAGAGAGAGAGAGAAAGTTACATCCATGTCTACGGTGGGATACGAACCCACTACCACTAACCCCGTGGTCCAGTACAGTAACCACTAGACCAGTGATCGGGAAGCGGGAAATTATAAAAACGGGATTTTTGTTAGACTGTAACTACAGGAAACTTATAACTTTTTTGGTTGCAATTTTACAATATATTTTTTTAATGTTATATTTCATTTAATTTTAGTACAAAACTTTAGACAAATCAATGTTACGTATAATTTTCATTTTAACGCTTTTTTAAGAATTTTTTAATAATAGTGAGGGGTTATAGATGTCTCTCTTGAAAAAAAGAAACTTAAACTGGTTGTAATTTAAAGAAAATGATTTTTTTTTAGTTAAAATTTTTTAGAATAGCTTTGTTTGTGGAAGATTAAGCAGGATAGCAAATTGAAAAGACTTAGTAAAAAATATATATTCATTAAAGGGAAAAAATATATTTCATATATTACAGTTAAAAAATATATATATTATATTACAGTTAAAAAATATATATATTATATTACAGGTATAAATATATATCTCTAATATAATATATATCTCTACCTCTATATATTATATACAGGTATAAAAAATATATTATATTACAGGTAAAAAATATATTTCATCTCAGTAAAAATTTATCAAATTTCAAGCACAAATGATCAATTGCTAAAAGTGTTGTTTCTTTTTAGCCCTAACTCGCAACCCCTATCCAGGGTTAATACAGTCATTTAAAATGTGGTATTAATAAAAAAGCTATTGATTTATTTTTTGTTCTTTTTTTTTTAATCTTTCACTTTAAAAATTCAATGCGAAATTCTATTATTTGAATTTATTTATATATTACCTTTGTATCCACTAAAAAGAAATATTTTCTTAAACTTCTATTTTAGTTGATGGAGAGTATATGCTTTATAACATACTACGTATAATAATTAAAACCAAATAAGAGATTATTTAAATTATATTTTAAAGAACATTTTTTGTACAACTTCGTTTACATTCATTTTATAACCGTCGTTGAACAGCCGACCCAATTTTTTGGGTTTACGACTATTCTCCATCTACCACTGAGGATATTTTACGTCAGCACTGTGAGCGGTGCAAGCCGGATGCGAAATTCACATCGACCAGCCATTGCTAAGATTCGAACCCGTTTCACTTGATTGAAAAGCGAACAAACTATCCCCTAAGCCATCACTGCTGTTCTTCGAGATATAGAAGTTTTAGATATCAAGAGTATAATGTATATGCTTTAAGCAAAATTTGATTTTTATTAACCATGATAAAATGCCTCAATGTTTCGCCCAGGTCCGCTAAAATCCTAAGCACGTCCCTGATAAGAAAAAATAATTATGAAAATGACAGATTTTTCAAAATGAAATCAAGAAAACAAAAGAATACTTACTTCGAAGCCTCTTCTAAGCTAGGTAGGTTTTCGGGAAATTTAAGCAAAACAGGAAACTTATTTTCAGCTTCCTAAAAGTCATAAAAGAAGCATTGTAGAAAACAACGAAAGTTTTCGCAAAATAAAAACAATATATATCAACCTAAACATTTATTCATAAATTTACATATATATCGCATAAGTTTGCTAATATTGCTTAGAAGTAAGAGTTATAATTAATATACAAATCAAAAGGCTATTTTGTGGCCAGGATAGCCTGGTTGGCTGACGCTGGGCTCACGTTCGTGAAAAAGGGTGTTCGATTCCAGTCTGCCGAAGACTCCCCGTGCAGTAAAGGGTGACTGGTGCAAGTTATATTTGTCGTGTCACAATGTCCTCCATATTCTCATAACAAATTATACCTCTGAGGGTACTGAATTGGAGGTTGATAGTTCTCTGGTTCATGTCAAAATTGTGATGTGTGGATGAATGAATGTATATACGAATGGGTTCGCCCTATAAACGTGTGTGACGTATGGGCGAGGCGGAACAAATTCTTGGCCATAGATTGCGCGACTGGAAAACTAGAACAGTGGCACCCTTTGCCTTAATAGCCTACGACAACGACAACAACAACAACAAATGGCTATTTTCTTGCGTGCACTGCAGCTGTAGTTTAAAAAAAACGAGTTTGTTGACTTCAGATAAAAATGTATCCTTTAAAATTATTTATATTTTATAGTAGGCACACATCGTTGTCTAAGCACTTTCGGTGGAAACTTTTTCATTGATAGCAAAGTTAATGATAAATAATTCTTTGTTCACTTAATTGGATTTGAGATCATTTTGACTATCGCAACATAAAAAAAATAAAGGAATTAAGCATAGATCAAACAGAAGGGAAGAAAAAAATCAAACAAAATCAATCAATGAAGAATGCATAGATAAAACATAAAAATTAAGATAGGAAATTCTAAATGTTGTCGAAATTAAACTAGTGTGCCATTGTAAATTTTTTTCAAAAAGTGTCAAAATTGATACGTGATATGTTTTTTGACAGCTCAAGATAATTTTTCATAAATAAATAATTCTCCTACCCAACATCGTTATTCGCATATTTGGCATCAAATAAAGGAGTTTACTAGAATTCCATTGTTTTTCTATTTCTAAATTCTTATTTTTTTTTCAGTAATGAAACGTAACAAGGTAACATTTGTTTCCATCGAAAAGTTAAATAGTTGTAAAGAAAAGGAGATTTGTCTCAATCATGTAATATATTTGTCGCAATATTTCAAAGAATATGCACCTAAACTTTGGTCTACTAGACTTCTTAAAAAAGAAAATATCTGTGAGACTATTAAATGTAGAAATTCATTAACATTCTAGAATAAAGAGTACTACAAGAAATGCTGAAAAAAGTGGTTTGCTTATACCCTCTTTGTTTTTGACATCTTTAAATAAGCACATGCGCTTTAACAGAATTAATTAAATATTGTATATAAAGCAATTATTTATATTATTAATAAAATATTGTAAACAAAAGAAGTATTTATATTATTAATAAAATATTGTAAACATAACAATTATTTTTATTATTAATAAATATTGTTCACAGAACAATTATTTATGTTATAAATAAAATATTGATGACAAAACAATTATTTTTATTATTAATAAAATATTGTAAACAAAACAATTATTTATATTATTAATAAAACATTGAACAAAAACAATTATTTTTATTATTAATAAAATATTATAAACAAGTGCGTTATAACGTTTAAAATACATTAATATCGACTTCTGACACAATTCGTGAGTTGTACGAAAATGTAAGTGCTCCTATAACTAGTTTATAAATCTTATTTTCAGTAAAAACAGCTAGTCTTGACAGAGTTATTTAATTTTAACAGATGGTCATAACTTAAAATTAAAACTAAATACTTGCGTATTGACTTACCATCAAAGTATTCAAGTAATTTTACATTAACAAATTTCATAAATTTATATATTAAATCAGTAATCTTATAATATTAAATCAAAGTACTTTTATAGCTAGATACACATCAAAATCTTTGCCCATGTTGTCATTTAAAAATAATAAACACGCCTTTTTTCGCAGGATTCCCACGGACATGTTTGAAAATGGAGCGATATTTTGATATATTATTATTAATGTATGAAATGCTGTGAAAGCATTATAGATAGAAATAGTTCATATTAAAAATTATCATAAAAATGAATACCTGAGCAACGTAATGTATTAAATTCATCCCAGGTTTATTAGCTCTAGTTTCAGCCATTTTAAGTAGTGACATCATTTTAAATCCAGCAGCATCTCCAGCATATCCACCCTAAATAATTAAATATTAAATGTGACTATTTCTTTCTTGTTTAGAAAAGGAAGTATTATTTTTAACTGAGTCTTACAGAATTTAAGAAGTTCCCGGCAACCAAAAGCATGTACAGTACTTCATGCAGCTCTTTACAATGTTTTAATTCTGTAAATAAAAAAATAATTAATATGAATACATCATTTAGGTTACTTTTTATATTAGTATTTTATACAAGTTTGAATAACAGTGTTTAAAAATTTATGACAGGGAAACGGTTAAAAAGATAATTTTTGCAGCACATTCATGAGACAGGGCATAAATATTTTCTATTGATCTTATTTTTAGATCAAACTTTTTTCATAAGATTGTGAAGCAAATAGAACAGAAGAAAGTATATAAATCCTTAAGTATGAGCCATGGTGGCTCAGGGGATAAAGCGTTCGTCTTCCACCAAGATGAACCGGGTTCTGGTCCCAGGAGTGGCTGATCGATACGAATTCCGCACCCGGCTCGCACCGACCACAGTGCTGACGTAAAATATCCTCAGTGGTAGACGGATCATGGGTTCGAGTCCCCTTGCTTTTAACCTGATGGCAAGGGGACTCTAACCCATGTGGTTTCGGGGTTTTCCTTTGTATGTAGCGCAAATACGGGTTTGCTCAATTAGAAAGTCCTCCAAGAAGGTAAATTTCATACCTGCCAACTCTTCCGGATTTTCCGGAAGATTTTGTTTTCATATTTAAAGTGGTAGTAAATATATACTATTTTTTCTTTTATAAACTTAATTTTTAAATGATTTTGATCACCACTATTCTTACAAAAATTAAGCACATATATTAATATTCGTTACTATCACAGTTGTCAACTTAAGTTTGCTCTTATATAACGTATTTGTTTGCTTAAAATTGAAGTTTTAATTCCATTTCAATACCACTGGGAAAAATGATAATGGAAGGGATTAAAAGTTGGCAGGTATGAAATTTGTCCCAATACTTGATCCAGGAGTTCCTTTGTCTTCTGGATTGAAATCAAAATTAGAAGGTGACGAAGTTGAAAATTTCGTAAACCCAAAATTGGGTCGTCTGTCCAACGACTGTTATAAAATAAGCAATAAAGTAAAAAATAAAAAAAACCTCCACCTATCGAAATTTTTTTAAAACTAAAACCAGGAACAACTGGGTGAAAAATGTATGCCTTGTCAGATAAATTTGCTGCAATAATTGCATATTTTACCTTAACTGTTTTCCTATTATAATGTTTTTTTTTTATAAATTGTCACTCAAATTAAAGACAACTTGTATATATTTAATATCTTTAAAAATTTATCTATATTAATGTTTTACAAACCATGAACTGCAGATTCTATTGTTTCAATTGCAGGCTCTAAATATGCCATATTCGATGCAAATTCCTCTTTGAGTAACATGCCTTCACATCGAATTTTATAGCTGAAATATAAACATTTATGCTAAGAATAAACTTCAAGATTATATTATAAAATTAAATATGACATCATAGCATTACACATCTTACATGACATCAATAATAATTAATCAAGTTCTTACTTCGGTAATTCAATTAACTACATCATAACATTACACATTTAACATAACATCAATAATAATTAATAAAGTTCTTACTTCGGTAATTCAATTAACTGAAGGAGAAAATTTTCAGCATTTCCTAATCTTTGACGATCACCATTATATCCTCTAAGCATTTCCATCTAAAATAACAAAATTACAAATTTATCAATATCGATGTTTTGTAAACTTTAAAAATTTGTGCTACAATTAATTCTTATTAATTGTTAACAACCAGAATTTATAATTTCTTAACGACGCCGGACTTAAATTTAAAAAATTTTCGAAACTCATCAAACTGTTTCTATTGAGCAAATTTAAGTTTGTTTCCATGTTTTGTTTTCGGCAGACAGAGTTTGTTTCCGAATTTTAGTAATAATATTTTAATATTTAACCCTTTGAGGCACACGAACATAAATTTTCATATTTTTTTAAAATTGAGAAACTAATTATGATGCTTAGGATCTAAGAATGGGAAAATGACATTTAAAAAAAATTCTGATTCATTGCACCACACAGGGGGTGGTGGTTTCGGTGGTTAACCAGTGTCCACATAGAACATTTTCATGTGAAAAAAAAATATTATCTTTTTTAACTTTTTTTACAATAAATTTTCACTTTTCAGAAATCAAACAATAAACTTAAAGTACTAAAACTATTTATATAATTTTAAAGACCAAAAAAGGCTTTAACAAATATAATATAATACAAAAATAGTATATAATAAAATATATATTAGTGAAAAATAAAACGCATGAATTTCAAACACAAAAAATATTCTAAGTAAAATATAATATATATTATACAATATCAGGATAAAATAAATAGTACAGAAATATATAATAATAAAAATAAAATGTATAATAATAAAAATAAAATATAAAATAAAATGTATAATAAAATGTAATAAAAAGTAAATATGTTACTCAGCATTTACTGTGATATGTAATAATGTAATCTTATTCTTCTGTATTATCTTGTGTATTTAATTCAGTAATAGAAGTAATAGACTTTATTTTCAATAGAAATAGATAAGAGACACATTGCTCCCCATTTATAAGCCCCATGAAGAAAAAACCCTAATAAATTTTTACCCACTTCACTATCTGAGTGAAGGAAGGGGGAAAAAGAATAAAGACTCGTGTTGGTGGATATAATGTTCTAGGGGCACAGTGGCTTCACTCTGAAACCAAAAAATATAAAGGTAAAAATTAAATACTTTTCTGAGGAATCTTTATTGGGAAAAATTTGTGTGTCAAAAGAAGCTCATAAACAACAAATCTGAGTGATATACTTCAAACTTTTTTTGTATTTTATTGAGTAAAAAAAAAAAAACTTGTAGTAATGAAAAAGGGCCTTGAAAACTTTTTATTTTTTTCAAAGGAAGATATAATCTAAGTGTAGTGCTGCTATCTGGTGATGTTTAGTAAAGTTAAAATAATACTTTAATATTATTGGTTTCGGAGATTGACCTTTGTGCCGCTAGGAATAATTTTTTAAAAAGTGCGGTTTCGCTGTCGTACCACTGTGCTTCAAAGGGTTAAGGGTCCTTAGACTCAGAAATTCTTGAATTTTTGGGAACTTGATTTATAATATTACTTAAAAAAATAATCTGGCTTCATTGTATTTGAAATATGTATATTTTAGATATTATGCTTAAATTTGCTATCAGAAAATTGATTTTTTTAATCTTTGAGGATCACGCTTTTTAAAAACGATTAAAAAATAAAAATATGCATGATTAAAAAAGAATTTTTTTAAAAAAATCTAATAACAAAAAATACCGAGAAAAATGAAAATGTATACGATTTAAATAAAAATAAATATTAATAAAGTTTAATATTTTCAGCCATACAGAACGTTAGCAACATTTTTTTAAGATGTTAAAATTTTGTCTAAACAACTCGTAAAAAATTTGTGTACAAATTTTGTAAATTTTTGTAACAGTACAATATTATTAAAAAAAATGAAAATATCTGAAATTTTAAAAAACAAATTTAGAACAATATTTTGATTTTTTGAAAAATTTCAAAAAGATGTCCCGCATCACTTAGATTTTCCTTAGATGTTTGTTTTTTTCAAAACAGCATACAATACAATTTCAATGTGATATTTTGAGATATAAAGTCTGCTAAAATAACACATATAAAGAAAACAAAAGTGCCTCAAACTTAATAAATAAATAAATAATAAAACTTGAAAGCTCAATGAGCAACTCACTTCATCTGATTCTGGCAACACTTTTAACAAACCTCGTAATTTTTCTGCCCCAATTTCATCATGAGCTCCTTGTCGTAGTAAGGCAATTATTTCTTCGTTGGAGCTAAAATTTTAATTTAAAACTTAGTATTAATTTAGTTTTTAGGAAAAAACAAAAACTACATATTACAAAAAAATCAGCTTTCAACTCAAATGTATTTAATTTCTAGATAATTCTTAATTTCTAAAATCCATCAAATTACTACGATAGCTAAGTAAATTTGTTAGCAAAAATAAAAATCCTTATAACTTTTGAACGGATTTTCATTCTGTAAAATGCTATGTTTCAAAGAAATCTCTTAAATATGTATAACTGTAACTGTGGCGGAATAGGCTTATTTTAACACAAAAATACACTATTTCTGAGGAAACTTTTTTATTGTATTCGATTTACCGGTTAAAATAACCCTTGAAACAAAATTTCATAAAACTCTCAAAAGAACATAGGGGATAAAAAATGGAATGTTTAGCAGAAACAGATTTACGTAAAACATCAATCAGAATTAGCGTAGCTTTTATGTTATTCATTACAAATATAGAGAAAACATGGAAACATTACAGAATAATGAAAAGAAAAGAAATTATTAAAATAAAATAATGTAAAAAAATATTTAAAAATATTTAAATAAAAATTCGGGGAAAAAGGATATTTCTTCATCAACTCATACTAATATTTCCGCAAAAAGCAATTCTTTCTAATAATGAATCAATATAGCCAAAGCAAAATACATCAATATAATAGTGAGAAGAGCACTAAAAAAATTTGAATCAAAATAGAACACTTTAAGTAATAAATGTCACGTAAAAAACTGAAAATAAAGTGTAAAGAAGAAACGGAACTAATAATTATTAATTCTTGAAAGTTTCCCGTCCATGTAAGTTCATTTGAATTCACTACTCGCTTTATAGATTTTATTATGCTATATATATATATATATATATATATAATTTTACTACATTATTACACATATAAGCATTTTACTACTACTGGGGAAAATCATCCTCAAAAGGATTAAAAGTTGGCAGGTATGTATATATAATATCATACCTGCCAACTCTCCCGCATTTTGCGGGAAATTTTATTTTTCATATTTAAAGTGGTAGTAAATATATACTATTTTTTTTCTTTTATAAATTTAATTTTTAAATGATTTTGATCACCACTATTCTTACAAAAATTAAGCTTATATATTAATATGCGTTACTATCATGGTTGTCAACTTAATTTTTTTTCAAATACAAGGTATTTGTTTGCTTAAAATTGAAGTTTTAATTCCATTTTAATACCACTGGGAAAAGTTGGCACGTCTGATAATATATATGGGAGTGTCGGGTAGCCCCGCCCACTTAGAGAGTATTGCTTATATTTCTGTATAATATTGAGTAATAAGAGTAATAATCAGAATTTTTGTATGTTTCTATTGTTTTATCATCTAATTAAATAATGCAAAAAGAATAAACCAAAAAAAGAATAGTTTAACTTAAAAAAATAGAAATTTAAAAAAAAACATGTTTTTCAGCTATTTTCAAAATGTGTCGGGTGCCCAGTTACAAAAATTATGTTTTTTGACTGTTTCTTCAGGTGTAAATGAAAATGACCAATGTATTGACAATAGATAAACCTCATTTATCATTTTTATCACAAATACTTGAGTATTACTTGAGTATATCAAATACTTGAGTATATCACAAATATTTTATCATAAATACTTGAAACTTTGAAAATAATCTTTTTTTAATATAACAATTAATGTCCGATGGCCCATTGACTTGAAAAAATATTCNGGAGCCATGTGCTCCCCTAATAATTTTGAGCAGTGTATATATATATATATATATATATATCACTTCACTTGTAAACATCAAATTTCCATATAGATATTTGATGAATATCTTGGAGGTAATTCATATCCCATTTATTAAACAAGGAAGTGGGAAACATTTTAGATTGACGTTACGTTTTAAGAACTCAACACACTCATCATTTTTTATTTTTTGAGCTTTTATTCAAAACATTGATCACGAATTTTTGTGACCTTTATTTCTATAAAATTGAAATACCATTTCTCATATGAATCAGAAGTTGTTGAATAGGAATTAGTTGTCAAAAAGAAATAGTAATTAAAATATTCCTCGAGATTCCTCGTTGAAGTTAGACGCCCTGCTTAATACATATTGCAACATTTTATTCGCTTTATAATTTTGACTTTTTCTTGTACAGATAAATTTTTTCTTTTTGTCATTTTAAACAGATGAATAAAAATAACGCTTTCAAGAGATGGTAAGGAAGCATTTTTTACATATGACCAGAGATGCCACATGCTCCGCTTTCTGAAAAAGTTTTAATAAATTGAACAGATTAGTAAAACTTGGAGATTAAAGATAAATACTTCTACTTTTTAAAAATATGCACTCACTCATACTCATATGTGTTGGTTATCTTAGCATCAGCCCCGCTAGGGGCTCTAACTAATAATAAATCGCCGAAGCGCAACTGAAAGGTGAAAGTTGGGGTTCAGTATCTTTGACTGAGAGAAAATTAAAATGAAGTAGTGAGATTGAACAAACAAGTTTGAGAGAGAGAAGAGGTTTTGTGACAGACTGCCTCGCCTCCCTTCGAGGTATTACCCCCGAGCTTCTCAGGTGCACAGTAGCCACATAGCCCCAGGGAAAAGGAGAAATACATAATAAATGCGCAAAATTATTTACAAGTATTTACAGCTATTTACAAAATTTACGGGACAAAACTCCGTCGGATAGGAAAAAGGCGGTTGCCGGGCTATATTTTATGTTGTCTTTGATGTTAAAAATATGCAATGAAGTTGCATTTCATGTGAAACTTTGAATTTTCGATATGTAGTGGTGAAAAAATTACTTTCAATGAGAAATATTAAAATAAAAATAACTTAAATTTCGTTACCACTAGAAAATATTTTTTTACTAAGAGGAGCAAGTTGGTGTTTCTGTAATGACTTTAAAACCGGAAATGCTTTTGCAAACTTTGAGGTACTTTTTTGGCGATATTCATTCTTCCTCAAAAATTTCATTTCTTGCAAACGCGGCAATGTACTGTCCAGGGTGTCTTGTTTTGCTGGCTTTTTTTAAAGGCTTCTTATTGATTCAACTTTTCTGAAGCGACACCGAAACACAAAAATTTATGTTCCAAATCACTTTTGATTTTAAGCAACTGATAGTGTATTGTATTATTTTTTTTATATATAATTTTTCATTATTTCTGATACTATTCCGCGCTTTCAAAATAATTTCCCTCGTCAAATCCGAGAAAAAGTGAAAAAATTGTTCGAAGAAAGATAACGTTCTAATAGATTTATGATATTGAACCAAACAAAACATTTCGTTTTCTCGTTAAATGCGAGCTTCTTATAAGTGGGTTGTAGTGCATATGAAAACTTTATTATAGGTTGACGATCTCGGGCTCGACATGGGCCAGACTTTCAGACCGAGCCCGTCTTATCTCTAAAGCCACCTAATTCATCATCCTTTCAACTAATACTTTTCTAACTGTCCCGTTTCCATTCCTATTCCGAATGTCCTATTGTATATTTGTTTTTTCTTCCTTAACGAGAATTTTACGACTGCTTTAACAGTTTTTTCTTTGAATGGAAAGTTACTTATAAGCGTGTAGTATTCCTTAATCTAAGATCTCTTTAATATCCCCCACAACTTAGAGAATAAAAGTTCTGTTCACTTTTTCCGGTCGTCCTTTTCGGTAAAAAAAAAAAAAAGTACGTGGAACTTGTGAAAGAACCGACAGTCAAATCCACAAAAAAAGGAGAAAAAAGATTTGTAGAAGAAAACTTTTTTTTATATATATTCAAGAATCGTGCTTCCCATATTATAGAACTGCCTGTGTTATCGTATTGCATTTATCATTTTAATTGATTGTTTAAAAGACTTGGCAGCTGACTTGAAGCAATAAAAGTTAAAATTGCAGTTAAAAAAAAGAGTTAAATATGGCTTAGAATTTCCAATTTAAATAAAATAGTATAATATATAATATTCCATTTATATTATATATATATATATATATATANTATTAATCATTTTAGATTGATTGTTTAACACGTTGAATGCCATGGGGGTCACCGGTGACCGGCGAAGAGAAGATTATTAGAAACACATATTTCGATTAAATTTTTAATTTTTTTAATATTATTATAGTTATTAAAATGGTTTGAAGAAATTAATGCAATATAGAACACACAAAAATAGTTTTATTTATACACACAGAGATGCCAACTTGCTCCTAACAGTGAATAAATATTTTCAAGTGGTAGTTTATAAATTGTGATTCTTGGTTCAATAAATTCAATTTAGTAGATTTTTATCCACCACTATTTCTAAACAATTCGTAGGCTTATATAATTCACCACTTTTTTCAGATACATCGTAGGGGCCGCTTCGCGACCCAGGTGCCCAGTTTATTTAAATAAAGCAAAGCAACCTGGAAATATTATCATCAATTATTGTACATATCAAATCAAATTTTATCTTTATTTTTTATTTAGGTCTACAATCAATATTTCTAATGTTACGTAAAAACGTCAACCACATGGCTACCACAATGTTTGCCAAATCAATGTATTTTACCTTACTGTATGTAATTTAACGATGAATGGGATAGGTGCCCAGTTTATTTAAATAAAGCAAAAGGAAGCAGATTTATCATGCTAAACCATTTAAAAACTACCAAATTCTGTGTAATATTTGCAACTTTAGTTTGTTGTTATTTACCGTGTGGCCAGACGGGCAAGCCACGTAAAATTAGTGAGGCATTCAACGTGTTAAGAGATTTGACAGCTGACTTGAAGCATTAGAAGATAAAATTTTAAGAATTTCTATTTTATTGCAGTAAATATGGCTTATAATTTCCAGTTTAGCTTATAATAAATGAAATGGAAAGGGTAAACTAATCTGTTATTATTTAATACAATCGTTAAAGTTATTAAATAAAAAAAATCAGGGAAAAATATTATTTTAAGCCTCTTTATAGTATGGTTCAAGATAAAATGATCAGGAGATTTCTACACCTGTTTTTACAACATTTTTTAATTAAATTCGTTTATGAAGGAAGGGCTTTACATAGAGCTGCTAATTTTTGAAGAACATGTCACATTTTAACTGTTTATAAGTAGTGGTAGTGACGAATAATTTACTTCTCTTGAATTAAAGGTAAGATATAAGATGCTTTTACCTTTATATTTTCGAAAAATCATTGATGTTAATATGGCTTCCATCATAAAAAAGTAATGGATTTTTCTTTACAAACTAAGCAGCCATTTTACTACCTTAAACCATAAAAATTTCCTACAAATCCCAAATTTTCTATCGAAAAATTAGATTAAATTGATATTATACTAAAGCTTATATAGTTGATTAGGTTCTGTTTTACAAATGCTTATAAGGTAAACTTTTTGAAATCATAAAAGCGGTACTTTTAACCTATCTTACCAAGTTTCTTTAGTTAAGAACGATTTTCCCAAGTGTAATTGAAAGGAGAATTGAAAAATCAATTGTAAGCAAAAATATTTTCATTTTTTTGTCAGAGGTTAAACCCACTATCATATGATTATTAAGCATTTATATCTATGTTGAATTCCTTTATATATAGTGGTGGATTAAATCCTTCTGAATTAAGGGAGGAAAATATATTTAGAGAAATAAATTCTAATAGTTTCTTACCTACGAAATTGTTTTAGAAAAATATTGACATTCAAACTTCTCTTTCCATCTAAAAGATTAATCTGAAAATAAACAGAAAATGTGGGTTTTACCGGAAACATATAAAAATGAGGTTAAACATTTTAATTAATTGTACCAAAATATTTAAAAGAGTTTAAATATAATACGTCAAAAAAGCAATTTGTTAAACAAAACAATTTTTAAACCGCAATAAAATGCATATTTATGTGCTTTAAAACATTACTGCTAACTTTTACAGTGGTTGGAAAAGATTTTAGAAAGCGGTAGTTAACAATTAAGTTTGCTAGAATTTTCTAAAAACAAAACTATTAAGACATTTTTAAGCATAATTAGAAAACAAAAAGATCTTATCTACGTATTTTTTTAAATTATTGGTTCATCGTGACAGTAAAAAAAATTTTTTTGAAACTTTAAACTTCAAGATGCCAAAAAACTGAAATTACAACCTCTAAGAAAATTATTTATCAACGGTCGCACAAATTGGCAGTTATGCATTATTATAAAAATGTAACAGCCAAAATTCTGATTTTTTACGAAGATAAAAATTATTGAAATTTATTAGAGAACAGTATTGGTATACAGAGACACGAATTTTAAGTAATATTTTTTTTCTAATGGCAGGCACTGAATTTTGAATCTTTGCCAATGAAGATGCCAGAATTTTTGCTCATTTAGCGTTACCCAGTGGGCACCTGTGAACCAAAGTCACGGAGGCGAGCAACATTGCCCACCCCACACTGCCACAAACCCGTTTATAGGGTGGGCTACATTCACACATCACACACACACACAACAGAGGACAGCAGAGAGAGAGAGAGAGAAACATCCATGCCCAGAGCGGGATTCGAACCCGCAGCCAATGGCTTCGCAGTCAGGCGCGCTAACCACTCGGCCACCTGGCCGGCTTTTAAGTAATTATGTTTTGATCTGAAATTCCTAAACGTTTTTGGCGATTATATTAGAAATAATTTCCTAGTTCACTCCTACTTTTTCACCCTACTCACCTGAGAAGGCCTCAGCACGGATCAATTTAGTAGTCCAACGTAACGAATATAAACTGCGCAGTGAAGAAAAAATAAGAAAGATGTCATTACGTTCGGGCTAGTTAGCTACGCAGTGGAGGAAAATATGAAGATGTCATTACGTTTGCACTACTAAAGGATAAAATTTCTTGTTTATGGTAACCCGTGCTGAGACCTATCTTCTATAAGAGGTATTGGTTTAACTCCCACTTCAATTTTAAATGGATGGGAATTATAAACTTAACCCTTTAACCCCTTGTCAGTGTCGCAATCTAGTTCGGGCAAGCTACTACGTACAGTATTTGTGATGCCCAAACTGACCTCGGACAGGAGAAAAATTGACGTTTCTATTTTGTGAAGCCCGAGATGAGTTTGTTTCTACTTTAGGATACTTAATTCACTATTTCCCTAATAGATGGCTTTAGTAGTCATAGTTTTTCATTGATTACGATTTCAGTCGAGGAAGAGAAATGTGGATGGGTTTTTCGGGATATACCATACTGTAAGAGATTTGTAAAATGTATGTATTAAAAATCATATTGCTGTGTTTTTATATCATATTATACTAGTAATATCTTATTTAGCTTCAAAATGTTGCTTAATTTGCTCCAATTGAATAAGATGTGCGTGTAATCCATTATTTTTTTTATGTGTATATAAAAATTATAAATACAGTAGTTATTGCATTAAAAAAAATTTTTTTGTACTAAAAAACCATTTTCTAACTTTTATAATAATATAAGGAACAAAATTAAACAGTCAAAATTTTTTTCCATTTTTGGTCCATTTTTCTGAAATGTATGTCACTGTTAAGGGGTTAAAACAATTAAATCAATTAAACAATTTAAGTCTTTTTGTAAACGCTATGTATTTTTATGACTCGAAACTTTTGTGATGATTTCGTGACTGGACTTTTTGTGATGAAACGAAATATTCGCGTTGATAAGAGTATTCTGTAATTTGATCTGAAAATTAAAATGATATACAAATAGTCTAAGCATAAATGCTATACAACTTTTTATTTTAAGCATTAAAATCTGTTCGGTCCACTTGTACGTTTGCGAGAATAGTGGTAGTGTATTTCTGTTAATATAAATTCATGGATGGAAGTCTATTTCTACCGAGAAAAAGAACGAAATCATTTTATTCTAGCTTGTTTCGGCAAAAATACATGTGAAATGTACAGTGAGCAAAAAAAAAAAAAAAAAAAAAAAAACCGGATCACCCTTAAATAACTTTTGATTTAATGATTGCATCTTCACGTTCTAGGATTCAATCTTAATAGTTTGAGGGGGTACCTAAAATATACTAATTAATTAGTGCAGACTATATTTTAAATTACGAAATCAGATACAAAAGCGTACTTTCTCTGAATAAATATACCTATTTTTCAACGGATTCAGATTTCTGATCCCCAGGGGGTACCGTAATCTGGGAAATATGGTCCCCATAGTTTTGTTAGGAGAGCTATCTAAAGTTTGGATCCCTTAATGTTAATTTTACTTTTTGCATATTTCGTTTTATCTCTATAACTCTTCGAAAACTTTCTAAGTGAATTGAAAAAATTTTGCACTCAATTATAAAATTCATTTATCCAAGTTAATTCCTAGCAAAAAAAAAATTTAGTAAATATTTATAATTTTATTTTATAATAGTAGAAAAAACTTTGAATTGTAAGGTAAAAATTTTTTACGTCTCTTTAAAGATTGTAATTTTGCATGGCAAAATACAAAAATTGAGCAAACGGGGTTGAATAGATCTTGAAAAATCGAATTTTAAGCATACGACTTCCTCAGGAACTTTTCAACCAATTTCACTCAAATTTTGTATTTTGCCATGTAACAGTATATACCTTAAAATCATGCGAAGAAAATTGTACTAATCACTTGTGTAATAAACTGTAATTGTAATGTATTTGAAAAATCGACTATTAATAAAATAATAAAAAATAATAAATATTTAATAAAATTTACTTTTTGCAAATTTTATAATTGAGCGCAAAAATTTTTCAATTCACTAATTAACATTAAGTGGTCCAAACTTTAGATATCTCTGCTAACAAAACTGTGGGGACCATGCTTCCCAGATTGCGTTACCTTCTGGGGATCAGAAATCGGAATCCTTTGAAAAAATGTATGTTTAATCAGAAAAAGTACGTTTTTGTGTCTGATTTCGTTAAATTAAAATATTGCCTGCTCTAATTAATTAGCATATTTGAGGTCAAGATTGAGTCCTAGAACGTGAAGATCCTATCAGGATTCTCAGATCAAAAATTATTCAGGGTGGTCCTTTTTTTTCTCTTAGCGCACTGTACTAACTGCTTCTTACCTGAGATGAAGAAAATATTAATGAAAAGTTTGAATCATAGTGGTGTGAAAAATAATTTGAAATCAATTTTACCAGACAAAGAATCATACATTGAAACATAAAACTTGTTAGCACTAGAAAAAATTTTCCCATAAAGCATCGAAAGTTAGCAGACCTGTTAAAGTATTAAAACAGACAAGACTATCTTGTTTTTTTTTTTTTTTTTTTTTTTTTTTTTTTTTTTTTCAAAATAAAATTCTTGTTTTTTTTGATGAAGTATGGACAAATTGGTTAAATTATACTGATCACCATTGGGTTAAACAATGCAGTTCCCCATATATTTAAAAAATGAACAAATAGCAAATTGTTAGTTATAGTGGACATTTTTCGACACGATGTTAAAAAAAAAAAAAATTGGAAATTTAATTTTCGACGTTTGAACTTTAAGTCACACAACTAACATTAAAAGTAAAAAATGTTGAGGGTTGATATTTTAAAGAACACCTGGTTTAAATGTGCACTATAACAATAACAAGAATAGACTATCTAAAAATTGATTTTCTGTATATTCTGATGCCTATTATTTCTTAGCTTAAAAATTTTTTTTGAACATATTTCTTAAATTCTAAAAAAAATGTTGTTCCTCTCTTGTATCCAGAAAAATCTGCTGATAATTCAAAACTGTGACAGAAATTAAGAATAAATTCTCATTTTATGTTATCTTGTAAATGTCATACAAAACATGCTTTTCAGCAATGATAGGTGTTGTAGACAGGTGTAACAGAAATAACAGGTGTAACAGAAACATCAAATGCTGCCGCTTATCAAATTATATATAAATTATCACTGCCAAATAAATGCTTATTAAAATTATGACTAAGAATTTTACATGCCCTAGTATTTACGTATACAACTTTAACAATTTAATTTCATTCTTTTTGAACTTCTTTCTTTCATATATCGCTTGTTTAAGTTTTGAGACTTAAAAAATTATCCTGCGGACTACTACTCCACATACTCAATGTAGTCAGATTTGATTTATTTTTTAACCCCTTGTTAGTGACTAATGAATTTTATAATTGAGTGCAAAAATTGGTGCTTCAATTCCATGAAGCCCGAATTTAGTTTCTCCAATGCATAATATGTAGTTTACTATTTTCCCAGTAGATGGTGATACTTGTTTTTAAATTTTCCTGTGAAAAGTTCGGCAATTTTGCTCCATTTGTCGGAAATTCAAAGGAATCTGAGAGTCATGGAATTCATGACAGTTGATACAAATAATAATATTTGTTGTATTAGATTATTATATTTATCTTGAAATTTATGTCATTTGATTTATTTTACTATAATTTGAGCAAAAATTACTGTGATCCATTAACATTTTTCATACATGTGAAAACATTGAATTGTAGTAATTTCGTTTAAAATTTTGTTTTTTATACAGTTATCTATTTCTAACATTTTCATGATAATAATGAACAACATTAAAGTGAAATTTTTTTGTTATCCATTTTTGGCACGTTTTTCTCAAATGTATTCATTCCACTGGTAAGGAGTTAATTTATTTTTAACCGAGTAATCAATAACTTTTAATCTGTTACAATTAAATGTGTCATCGTGCATTCCTTTTTTAAGATGGAGTTTGAACGAACAATAAGAGTTTCGACAATTTAACTTAAGTGGGTGATATCATTTTCATGTTTTCATTAACC